CGCCGCTTGTATCTCTCAAGCTCCAGGACTCGCTCCAAAAGCTCTGTTTTATCTTTTTTTAAAGCTGCCACATCATTTTCTGTAGACCTGAGCCGTGTTTGGCAATCTTTAATTTCTGCGGCGTTGAATTCAACAGCTTTAGCGATGTTAGCCAACATTCCAGAGTTTTGCTGAAGTTGAGAGCCGAGAGTGTCGATCTTATCGGTCAGCTGCCTTATAGCATCCAGGACAGCAGACATCCCGTTTGAATCATCATCTGCTTTGGCATCTTTTCTCTTGACCACTGGTGAGTTTTTAGCAGGAGAGAAAGGGTCTTTCCTTTTAGAGGTTCCGGCAGTGACTTCTTTAGCAGCATAGTCGTGGTTAGCTAAAGCTAACTCCTCAGCACGAGCAGGGAGAGGAGATTTTTTAGAAGCCATGAGCTCTTTTTCAGTTAGTTATTCTTACCGTCGTGCGATAAATGACTTACGATGTTCAAGTGAGGATGTATCGTTCGTTGGAAAGCAAAGAGGTGAAGTAAAGTTGGGGCAAAAACGCGGAGCTTACAACGTTGGTTGCACCCGGTACGCCATCTTGCCGGAAGTCCTGTGACACAAAAATCTGAATTATGGAACTGAAAGTGAAAGTAGTCAAACTGAATTTTTAATAAACCAAAATACAGTTTCAAAGCAAATTAATTCAAATTTAAAACTTAAATTCAGTTTCAATTTAGTAAAATTCATTTTCAAACCAATGTATTCAGTTTCATATTTTGTACATTCAGATCCAATCTGAGCAATTCGATTTCACTTCCTGCTGGCACCAGATTGATCCCACAGAAGTCCTGGCCGAGTTCGGGACTCACGTGAGTCGAGCCCGGCGTTGATTTGTGGTTTCCTCCTGCAGAAGTTTCGACGCGACCCGTACGTCTCCACGTTTGTCGGCTTATCTAAGGTCACCAACTACCTCTTTGATGCTCTGCGGGGGGCGGAGGAGCAGCAGCACCGCCCCCCAGAGGAGGTGGCAGACCTGCTGGGCGAAGTCATCCCGGGTCTGGAGATCAACCAGCAGGAGGAGCCAGGCTTCGAGGTCATCACCAGGGTGAGGAGCTCCGTCTGTGGGTTCAGACTCTAAATCCTCTGATACCTGTGGAGCACGTTTACCTGCAAGACAAGACTCAGGGATCTCTGTAGCTCCACGGTCTCGTTTTATAGACAGGTTACTCAGTAAATCTTGACCTGTTCCCTGACAGATCGACCTGGGAGTGAGGCCTCAGGTGAGCCGCGGCGAGCCGCTGACAGCAGACGAGTGGATCAGACACCACGACGCCGAGGGGAGGCTGCAGGGCGTCGAGCAGCTGCGGAACAAAATCTTCAAGGGGGCAAGTCGACACGTCATCTCCTTTACCCCGTTTTAAACATTTAAACAGCTGATTTTACTGTGAAGTTGGGGAAAGAAAATGAAGCCTTGGTGCTTTTATTTTGAAAAGCACTTCCTAAATGCAATCCAGAGGCCTGAACTGCAGAGCTATGGTGAGGTGTGAGAGCCAAAACAAAGACCACTGTGCACCCAGCGGTGAGGAGGCTGTGTTTATTCCAGAGAGTTAACACAACCACAACACAATTAATCTGAGAAACGAGGAGGAGACTCCTCCTGTGTGTTAGCATCGGAGAGGCTAACATATAGCATGGCTAACAATGGCTAGCCATGCTATATGTTAGCATCGGAGAGGACATGTGTCACGTGTTTGTGACATGTTTGTGTGTCTACCTGCAGGGCGTGTGTCATGTGTTTGTGACATGTTTGTGTGTCTACCTGCAGGGCGTGTGTCACCTGTTTGTGACATGTTTGTGTGTCTACCTGCAGGGCGTGTGTCACGTGTTTGTGACATGTTTGTGTGTCTACCTGCAGGGTGTGTGTCACGTGTTTGTGACATGTTTGTGTGTCTACCTGCAGGGCGTGTGTCACGCTGTGAGGAAGGAAGTCTGGAAGTTCCTGTTGGGGTTTTCTCCGTGGAGCAGCACGTCAGAAGACAGGAAGAGTCTGCAGAAAGCTAAAACGTACACCGCTGACGTCACACACAGATACCAACACCTAATGATCAAACTGATTTATTCTGGGTTATTATGGGATGGTTGTCGTGGTGACTGTTGACTTTCTCCTACAGAGATGAGTACTTCAGGATGAAGCTGCAGTGGAAATCAATGAGTGAGGAGCAGGAGAGCAGGAACTCCAAACTGAGGGACTACAGGAGTCTGATTGGTGAGGAAGAACCCAGAGTCTTCATCAGCTCAATACAAACATCCTGACGTCTGATCTCTGACCTCTTTGGTGTCTGATCTCTGACCTCTTTGATCTTTGATCTCTGACCTCTTTGATCTCTGACCTCTTTGATCTCTGACCTCTTTGGTGTCTGACCTCTTTGATCTTTGATCTCTGACCTCTTTGATCTCTGACCTCTTTGATCTCTGACCTCTTTGATCTTTGATCTCTGACATCTTTCGTCTTTGATCTCTGACCTCTTTGATCTCTGACCTCTTTGATCTCTGACCTCTTTGGTCTCTGACCTCTTTGATCTCTGACCTCTTTGATCTCTGACCTCTTTGATCTCTGACCTCTTTGATCTCTGACCTCTTTGGTCTCTGATCTCTGACCTCTTTGGTCTTTGACCTCTGACCTCTGTGATCTCTGACCTCTGTGATCTCTGACCTCTTTGGTCTCTGACCACTTTGATCTCTGACCTCTTTGATCTCTGACCTCTTTGATCACCTGTAACAAGTCACATGTGTTCTGTTGCTGGTTTCAGAGAAAGATGTGGACCGAACGGACCGAACAAACCCGTTCTACGAAGGTCTGAACAACCCGACCCTGACCCTGCTGCACGACATCCTGATGACCTACTGCATGTACGACTTCGACCTGGGTGAGGACCGCAGCACGCCACGGTTCTGATGTTCTCCTGAGGAACACGGCTGTAGAACTGACTCTGTGACTCCGCCCCCTCAGGTTACGTTCAGGGAATGAGCGACCTGCTGTCTCCCATCCTCTTCGTCATCGAGAGCGAGGACGATGCCTTCTGGTGTTTCGTCTCCTTCATGGACCAGATGGTGAGAAGTCCAGTTGCTGGTGTAGAATCAGAACCATTACAGAACCGAACCAGAGAGGCTTCAGGTTCCTCCCTGTGATGGTTCTGATGGTTCTGTGATAGTTCTGATGGTTCTGGAACAGTTCTGTGATGGTTCTGATGGTTCTGTGATAGTTCTGATGGTTCTGGAACAGTTCTGTGATGGTTCTGATGGTTCTGTGATAGTTCTGATGGTTCTGGAACAGTTCTGTGATGGTTCTGTGATGGTTCTGATGGTTCTGTGATGGTTCTGATGGTTCTGTCCTCCTGTGTGTGCTGCAGCACCAGAACTTCGAGGAGCAGATGCAGGGCATGAAGACCCAGCTGGTCCAGCTCAGCACGCTGCTCCGGCTGCTGGACCTGGCTTTCTGGAACTACCTGGGTACTGGACACCTGGTCACGCCTCGCCTGTTGGGTCAGAACTCCCGGGTCGGACTAACTCCTGTTCTGTTTGTGTTTCAGAGTCTCAGGAGTCCGGCTACCTGTACTTCTGCTTCAGGTGGCTGCTGATCCGCTTCAAGAGGGAGCTGAGCTTCCAGGACGTCCTGCGGCTCTGGGAGGTCCGTTTGGGTTCTGATCAGATGACTTGTTTAAGGTTTTGGTTCTGAAATGTTGGATCAGTCTCTGGTCCAAGCTTTAGAACAGTTTAGGGGGTTCTGTCTCAGTTTGGTTGCTGGTTCTGGTTCCTGTGGATGTGACCTGCTGATCCGTCCCCACAGGTGATGTGGACCGGGCTGCCCTGTCAGAACTTCCACCTGCTGGTCTGCTGTGCCATCCTGGACTCTGAGAAGCAGAAGATCATGGAGGAGAACTACGGGTTCAACGAGATCCTGAAGGTAACCCGGGTTCTGACTGACCCGGTCCTCAGAACCAGGTCTGACTGACCCGGTCCTCAGAACCAGGTCTGACTGACCCGGTTTCCTCTCCGTTTGTTTTTGTTTCAGCACATCAACGAGCTCTCCATGAAACTCAACGTGGAGGAGATCCTGCAGAAAGCTGAAGGCCTCTACCTGCAGATCAGGAGCTGCAAGGTGAGTTCACACCTGATCATTGACCTGTCAGCTGATCACTGACCTGTCAGCTGATCACTGACTTGTCAGCTGATCACATGTTCTTCCCACCATTCTAAGACCTGGATTCTGACCCGGTTCCTCTCTGCAGGACTTGCCTCGCTCAGTCAGCACCATCCTAGGTTTGGACTCGGACTGCCCCTGTTCTGACCCGGCGACAGAACACGGATCGGCCGCAGCTCCCCGTCCGGCCCGGAGGCAGGAGTTCTGCTCCAACGGACTCTGCAGAGACAACAGACCTCCTAACAGCTGCAGAGCAGAGTTCACATAGTGACCCCAGGGTCCAGGAGGGGGGTGGAGCTAAAGGGGGTGGAGCCACACCTCCCTGACCACTAACCAGTGGGAAAAGGAGGGTGTAAAAACCGTAAAAAGTTATATAAATTCTTATTTTTCTAATTCTTATATCTTTAGCCTGATGTTTTCTAAAGCCATGAACTGCAGGACAAACAGGAAGTGATGTAAAACTCACCTGGACAAACAGGAAGTGATGTAAAACTCACCTGGACAAACAGGAAGTGATGTAAAACTCACCTGGACTTATTGTCTGACATGCTTTCCTTGAATCAGAGCTGCAGTTCAGAACCTGTTGGTCTGGTTTTCCTTCCTGCTGCAGCTGATCAGTATTTGTATCATCGATCAATCAGCTCGTTCTCTTTCTTGATTATTATTTTTTTATCTGTAAAATGTAAAAAAGCCAAAGTGACTTCCTGAACCTGCTCAGTTTGTACAGATTCTGTTACTTTCATTAAAACGCTGCCAACCAAGTTCTGTGTGGCTCAAACATTCACACCGGCCTGAGCTTGATGGACAGCTGCACTCAGGACTTCCTGTTCGTCCATCACGGCTCTGAATGTTACATCAGGTCCTCTTCAGGTGCTTTATCTTCACAAGGTTCTGTTTCGACCCGGTTCACATGAACGTAGGAACCGGTTGGATCCGGACTGAAATGTCACAGCTGCTGATGTTTTCCTCCAAATGTCAGCCGAGCTGCTGTCGTGGACATGATGGACGTCTCCTCCTCTTCCTCGTGCCTTTGACTGGAGCCCGACCCGATGGCGGTATCGCCTGCCATCTGCTCATAAAGTTTCATCAGAACCAGAACAAAGCGGGTCCGCCGCAGACGCCTGCTTTCATTTCCTCCTCAGCAGGAAATTGGAGAAGATATCTGGTGCGTCTCATCGCCCGCCTCCTCTGGGTTTTATTGAAGACGATGATGCTTCACCTGCTGACCTGCTGCTCCTCTTCCTCACTGACAGGAGGGGAGGGTGGGGGCAAACTGGTATTTAAATTGGTTAGTTTTTTTTTTTTTTTTAGGAAAATTAAAATAATAGTTGTGATTTAATGTGAAAATGTGGCTTAATGTTTTCAGTTCCAATAGAAGAAAAATCTTTTTAAACATCTTCAGAAAGAAACTTTCTCCTCACCTGCAGGAATATTCATGTGGTTCTGATGGACCCAGAGAGATCTATGGGATAAAACTTGTGCCAGCAGGAAGTGAATTTGATATTCTCAGATTAAATCTGAATGTACATAATTTGAAATAAAATTCATTGGTTTGAAAATAAATTTCACTAAAATTAAAACTGAATTTAAAGTTTTGTATCTGAATTAATTTGCTTTCAAACTGTATTTTGGTTTATTAAAAATTCAGTTTGACT